TTGCTCAGAGCAGGTACTGTAAGTATAACATATTTGTTATTTAAAAAAAACAAAAAAACAAAAAACAAACCTTTAAAGTCGAGAAAAGAAATACTTTTGTCTGAAACCTATACAGTGTAAGCCTAACACAGCCTAGCACAGCAGCAGAAACATTCATAAAGTATATATGAGGGATTAGCGCTACGCTATCTTGACACGGTAGCAGAAAAATTCATAAAGTATGCGTGGGATTTTCACTCCGGTGTATTGACACAGCAGCAAGAAAAAAAAAAAAGTCCTAAAGTGTATGTGGGATTAGCTCTGTCAGTATAGCTCAGTAACATAGATGTTTGTGAATAATGTATACAGTATGACAGGATCCTTTCAGTATAATAGCAAAACGTGATATGGATTTGTGAGCTCTGAAATAGAAAAAGTGGATGTCTGTGACAGCATGATCATGAATTATATATCAATGAAGGACTGCAGAAGGGAAGCTGTATGCTTTTGTACTGCGAGGGGGACCAAACATGCGATAAAAAGGAGAAAGGGAAAAAAGGGAACCATTTGGAGGTGACATTCGGGTCAACATATGCAGCCATTTGAATAAGCAGCTTTGCTCAGAGGAGTAAAAAAAAAAAAAAACACACACAACTGACGGGTGTAGTGAATCAGTCTGAAGTCTCCATTGGCTGTTATTATAATCCTTGTTATTGGTAGCTGACATAGGAAGGAAGGCGAGTAAAAGAAATATCCTTCCTGGTTTCTATGGCAAGGCAGAAAAGGTCAGAGTGCTGAAATAACAAATGTTTACTGCGTTCAGCAAGCTTGGAAAGTACAGCTCTGGGCTGTGTGGGAGCTGGCATGGCTCTGCAGAGTGACACATTTCTCTCCATAGGCTGCTGGGGAAGGAAAGATGGCAGGGGAGCTGTACACCCCCTGCTCGCATTTGTCTTCTGGCTTCATCACAAATGCTATGCTGTACGCTTTACAGGGATGTCCTGGATTATTAATGGAGGGATGGGGAGAAAGTAAGCAATATTTAAACAACCTTATAGCCAGAAAGCTGCGGACGATGGAAAAAAAAAAATTCAATGTATTGCGCAAAGGAGAGAAAAAGTTCATTTGGAATTAATAATACATAGGGTTGTGATGATGTGCACCGTACTGCAACCTAGCTGCTATAAAGTGCAGTGTGATCAGGGAGATGTATATTCCCATCGGTTGCTATGCATTACGGTATACTTCACCTTATTAAAAATAAATGGGAATTCTAATATTCAGGTTGTTTGGAAGTGTAGTAAAGATTTGAGTAATGATTCTATTTTATGTATAGGTTTATCTGGGAAGCCTGCACGCAGGTATGACAACACCGCTGCTGCATTGTAATGTCAAGTGACGCATCTGGCAGCGTCAAAAAGGTAATGTTTTAAAATTGACACAAGGTAATAGGATGAAGCAATACAGAGAAATGCATGGGTGGGAAACCTGCATGCTGTTGCAGAACTACAAGACCCATCATTACTCCATCAGACTGTCAGTCTTGCAATGCCTCGTGGGCAGTGGCGTCCCGAGGCAGGTGCGGGGGATGAGTACTGCTCCGGGTGACACCTATCGCACGGGGTGACACCGGACCCGCTCCACGAAAAGGTAGGTTGTAAAGGAAGCCGACGATCCCCGCAGGATGGATCGGATCCATTCTGTGGGGTTCGTCAGTTTTCTTTACAACTTACCTTTTCGTGGAGCGGGTCCAGTGTCACTCCGCGTAGGTTGCATGCCAATGATCCTCGCAGGATGGATCAGATCTGTGGATTGGGGAGCATAATGGATCAGACTCCAATCCATTATGCTCCAACCGCAGATCTGAACCATCCTGCGGGGATCGTCAGCATACAACCAGGTGCGGACTGACCATTTGGAAACTCTGGCACTGCCCGAGGGCCCGGGGTCAGTAGGGGGTCCCATGAGATGCCTCTGGTACCTTTCTCATAGGCATTTTTGAGTTTGGGCAAGGACACAGGGGCCCCATGATCCCCTATTGCCCGGGGGCCCCATGAGCTGTCAGTCCGCCCCTGCATGCAACCTATATGAGGTGACACCAGACCCGCTCCATGAAAAGGTAAGTTGTATAGAAAGCCGACGATCCCCACAGGATGGATCAGATCTGCCGATTGGGGAGCATAATGGATCGGAGTCCGATCCATTATTCTCAATCCACAGATCCAATCCATTCTGCAGGGATCATCGGAGGGGGTGTCACCAAGTGTTATCGCAGGAGGGGACACCTACCCTAGGGACGCCCCTACTCATGGGACAAGTGCAGTCATGCTTGTAACTGCCAATCATGCCATGCCTCATGGGAAATGTAGTTCCACAACAGCTGGAAGGCCGCAGTGTGCCCGCCACTGGTCCACAGCCTCTGAAGTTTTTCTTTTACATGGGTGGAGAGAGCCCAATGCTATGAAAAATGATCACATCTCTATACTTGGGAGTGACAGGTGTTTGCGTACAAAATGAATGACAGGCTGGAGTCTGGAGCCTGTTTCTTTGTGCACAGGAATGGATTTGTGTTCCTTGATGCTCATCCATACCTGTACGTAAATGAAAACTCAGATGTGCAGTTACCAGTGTACAGCCACAGTCTGTATGATTTGTAGAGGCAGCTGTATGCAAATGCCCATCACTACCAGACTCCATCACTGGGTGCAGATTTACTGCCACAGGCACCTCATCAGCGGTGTGACCACTGAGGGCTACTTCTGGTACACCCACACAGATATCACGGAATCCCTGGGTTGTCAGGTTGCCAGCTGAACATCCTTCATCTGACTGCTGATCCTTCAAGAGCCTGTTCGGGAACATCCTATCTCCTGGAACCTTGGTATCTCCAGGATTGGTGAGTGGGCAGAAGCCCACCTTTAACATTACATTCAGAGACACTGCATGCAGACACTTTTACCGCCCCCCCCCCATTTTTCCACATCAAAGGCCTTTTGCTGGGAAACCCCTTGTTTATTCTATCCAACCTTGCTGGTCGCCATTGCTCAGCAAATTTCCTTGGGACCCTTCGTAGCTAGCTGAAGATTTCAGACCTCTTACTTCAAGGACTTCCTACACCCAAAGGAATTAGTCTACACAATCTCTTACCGTTAAATTATTTATAACACTTGTTGATCTTAAGGGGGAATTCTTATTGAGGTCTCAAAAGTCTTATCTTCCCCTTCTTGTACCTGAGGTCATATGCTTTCTTAACCACTTGGCGCCGGCAGAATGCAAATGTGCGGCCTCCCGGCATCTGGGCCTAGACGCCGAGCGGCTGCACGTTTGCGTTCTATTAACAAAACACATATGTGCGGAGAGCATTCGCCCTGCGCACTCCCAGCATGCACGTTCGCTGCTCACGGAAAGGTCCCGATCTCCTCTTTTGATCGGGACCTTTCCCGATCATGTGAAAGAGAATCACGGCGGTCATATGACCCTAAAACCCCACCCCCCGACTTCTGGAACCCTTGAAGGGCCGGGAGGCTCCAGCGTCAAGGGTTTAAAGCCTGCTTGCTCTTACCACCAGACTCACTGGAGTTTCAATTTCACTGCATATCTGTGTAACTCTGTTTAATGCGAAATCCTGCAATTTAGGGATTACCCTCGGTTTACATTTTTGTTGACATAATAATCTCTAGTAAAATATTATCTTGTAATCTCTACTATTCTTTTTGATGTCCTTTCCACCTAATCAGGTGTCAGAGGGGCTGAAGTTGTTCTTGGGGTTGAGGCACAGAACAGGGAGCCCAAAATTACCAAGCAGCTCCTTTGGGGGTGGTGCTACCTAAATAAAAGCTCAGCTGTAGAGTTACTAGTGTACTGCCACAGCCTGTCCTTGATTTGTACTGGCAGCTATATGAAAATAACTGTCACTCTCAGGTGCAGAGATGTGCTTGTTTTGTTACGGTGTATGGCTCTGTGAGCCCGTTTGAATGAAGGTTCACACACACTTGATTTTATGTGAACTGTCATTTGCTAGGCGCAGAGAGCTATACACTTAGTCCTGCAGCTCTGTGCAGCTGCAGATACAATTGTTTGTGTATATGAATGGATGTGTGCCCCTAGAAGTTTATCCATTCCTGTATGAAAGTAACCAATGTACAGTCACAGCCTGTCACTGATTTATTGTAAAGAAAACAAACAGAGGGTGCACTAGCCAACTTACCGTAAAACACATTTTTATTGATATAAAGATGATAAATATTATACTCACAAAGGACGAGTACGTCAAGAGCTCATCATAAAAAAAACAGCACTGTCCTGTCCACACTGCATTGCTTCACACAATAGGAACCCTGGACCTCCAACATTCTAACGCATTTCGAGGACTTGCCTCTTCCTCAGAACCCTGAGATCCAGGGTCCATCTTTATAGCAATAAAAATGTATTTTAACCACTTCAAGTCCAGACACTTTTACCCCCTTCCTGTCCAGGCCAATTTTCAGCTTTCAGCGCTATCACACTTTGAATGAAAATTGCGCAGCCATGCAACACTGTACCCATATGAATTTTTTAGCATTTTTTTGAGACAGATAAAGCTTTATTTTGGTGGTATTTATTCACCACTGGGATTTTTATTTTTTTTGCTATATAAATGAAAAAGTCCAAAAATTTTGAAAAAGTGTTTTTCTTATAAAATTTAGCAAATAAATAATATTTCATCATAAATCTTGGCCAAAATGTATTCAGTTTTTTTAGTAAAAAAAAATAACCCAAATTAGTTTATAACCAAAAATTATAATTTTAAAAAAAAATTTTTTTTTCCTTTATTTTATTTTTTTATTTTATTATTTATGTTTTTTATTACATACTGTCACCCTAGCAGTACAGTGTCACCATGGTGACACTGTACTACTTGTGGGGGGTGATGGAAGATTTTTTTTCTTTTTTTTTTACACTGATTGCTTTTACAGCCTTTATGGGTGTAAACGCAATCATTTCTCCTTCTCTCTGACTGCATTCTTGCAGCCATTGAAAAATACTGGGTGAGCTGTGATTGGTCACAGCTTGTCACATGGTACAAGGCTGTTGTGAATAGCCTTGTACCATGTGACCTCTGTGATCATTCACAGATTTCACAAGTAGTAAGCAATGATGTCAGAAGTGACATCTTGCTTACTACTCTGCATGTGATCACTGATTGGCCAATCAGTGATCACGTGATCGGGACCTCGCACAGAGGTCCCGTACGACGGATTGCGGTGCTGCACGCTCCCAGGGAGCACGTACAAGCAGGGGGCGGAGAGGCCGTTTATAAATGGCCACCCGCCCCTGCATTGCCACCCTCCGGGAGGTGGTTAAGGTAATGCGCTAGGCCGGTGTGCCCTATGTTTCTTTTCTTTGCATCCAGTGTTTTTGGACTTCCCCAGTCCTTTGAGGGCAGCAAGGCGTGCAGCAACCAGGACGGAATTATAGCCTTTGTCGAGTTCACCCCCAAGTGCAGGAGTATTTGTGTTTGTCATTGATTTGTACCTGTCACTGTGTTGTGTTGGTGTGTGCAATGAGAAAAAGTACTGCATGCTGTACTTTTTCTCAGGGCAGTGCGTTGAGAGACAATCCACTGCCTCGCACTGTGTGACGAGCAAGTGAACTTTGTGACAAAAAAAAACAGTGTGATCCGCTGAGCTGTACTGAGCTCAGCTGGATCGCACTGCACACCAGCTGCTGTGCTGCAATGCAGTGGCTGGTGTGATCCAGCCCTGAGGGTTCCCACACACTTTATTTTATGTGAACCCTCACTTATACCATGGCTGCAGCTGTACGCTGGTAACCACACATCTGAGCATTTACCTTGCTATGGGGAAGGATGTGCACCCCTAGATGCTCATCCATCCCTGTACACAAAAAAAGGGCGATAGGGCAAAATCACATTATATATACACACAGGATTTTGTATTTCCGGGTAGGGGGTGTACGTGTGCCCTACCCGTGCCACCATTGGCGGCTACAGCTTTCAATCACTGGGTTCCAGCCGGAGATTCCCGCTGGCACCTGGTGATTGCTGAGGAACTCTGACAGGGAAGATGTCTGTATGTAAAAAAAACAGATCTCCCCCATCATCTCTCAGCATAGCAGCGCAATACAAAGCAGTATGCTTACACAGCAAAACACAGCTCACAGTTAACCCTTTGATGTTAACCCCTTCCTGCCCAGTGTCATTAGTACAGTGTCAGTGCTTTTTATGAGCACTGATCACTGTATTAGTCAGTTCCCCCCGCAGTATCATGATGCCCACCGCAGTCCCGCTAAAAGTTGCTGACTGCCGCCATTACTAGTATACGTGTAATATATATATATATATATATATATATATATTAAAAATTACAGTATATATACCGCCATTTGTAAACACTATAACTTTCATGTAAACCAATAAATTTACACGTATTGGGATTTTTTTTGTAGACATGTAGTAGAATACATTTTGGCCTAAATTTATGATGAAATTTGATTTTTTTTACATTTTTTTTTACTGGACATGTTTAATAGCAAAAAGTAAAAAAATATAGGGGTTTTTCTTCAAAATTGTCAGTACTTTGTTTATAGTGCAAAAAAAAAAAAAAAAAAAAATACGCACAGGCGATCAAATACCACCAAAAGAAAGTTCTATTTTTTGGGGAGAAAAGGAAATAAATTTCATTTGGGTGCAATGTTACATGACCGCACAATTGCCAGTTAAAGTAACGCAGCGCCATATCGCAAAAAATGGCCTGATCAGGAAGGGGCAGGGGGGTAAATCCTCTGGATAGCAAGTGGTTAATACAATTTCTTGTTCTGTAACCGGACTGTTTATTTACTCCCCCACACCACGCTGCATCTATCCACACACATGCAGCTTGATTGGACAACACATAAGGCACGCTTCTAAGGGAGTGATTGACAGCAGCTTTTTAGGTGTTGCTTCTGGATCAGCTGTCAATTGCTTCCCTTGGAGGTGGAAAGGTGTGTCTTGTGTTTATAGTCCAGGTTGCCAGTACGCATCAGCATAGGCAGCATCTCCACTTTTAGCAAATTTTATGAATGTAGGAACACAAATGCAGGCCAGCACAAAGAATGATAGGTAATTCAGATTTGTAATAAGTGACATTGTGAGGAAGTGCCTTCAAACATGGAAGTTTGGGGAAGCGGCGCATAGGATGCGGTTGTAATTACACACAAAAATGTAGCTGTTTCTGAACTTTGTATGAAGACATTGTTTAAATGAATCTATACCAAAGTCCACAATACATATATAAATGTCTTGAAACTCAAGGGGCTAAACTAATCTTGTGGTCGTAGACCAGCCTGATAACTTTTACAGGGTTATGAGGGAGCCCCATGTACTTGTTTGGGGGTTTTTAAATCATTTTCTATCAAAAAATGCAGATTTTATTATGTTGACAAATGAAAACATTGCTCCAGAAAGGGGCAAAGTGGTTGAGATACAACAAGCCCCATTACCAATTCAGTCACGGGATGGCACGTTGCCTCTGGAAAACAATAAACGACACCCTCAGAGCCCACATAGAGTTCCTTAGAAGTTCAAAGACACAAAGAAGTCTACTACTGAAAATGCTGACTCCTGATTAACCCATCATTGTAATAGGGGGCCTCACTAACCATGTGTTTACATACCACGTTTATGAGCATTTGCGTTCAGAAGCGTTTTTTAAAGATAACCTCAGGAGACCTTCCAAAATGCCCAGAATGCACTGAAAAACAGTAAAAAAAGTAACTATTTCAGACATTTTTAGAGAAATAGAGAGAGCAGAAGCAGAGAGAGCAGCATTTTTTTAGATTAGCTGTCTTTTTTTGTGGTGTTTGGATGTGTTCCAGCTCATTTCTATTGCAGCAATGTCTAATATTATTATTATACAGTATTTATAAAGCGCCAACAGTTCGCTCAGCGCTGTACATTTACAATGGGAGACACATACATATTTTCTTTCATGTGAAACCTCAAAGTATGGTGTACCAGGTCCATTTGAGTACCGGGAAAACGCTTTGCATGCATTTTTCATGATGAAAAAAGGCTCTGGCCGCATCAGGAAATGGAAAGTTAAAAAAAATTTACAAACGCAAATGCTTATAAACACGGTTAGCTGCTTGGCGTTTGAAACGCTGATAAAATCTACTCCTGAACGCAAGTTTGGTGCGTTCAAAAAAACGACTGTAAACGCAACTGCCTGTAAACGACTGTAAATGACATAGTGTACATGAACACATAGGAAAGCATTAGGAAAAGTTCAGGGGCTGCTGAAAAAAAACGCAGAAAAGCTCGTAAACGTGTATTTATCAGCTGCCGTGTACATGGAGCCTTAGGGCCGTTCACACCAGTGCATTAAAAAGGCAATATGCTTTTTTTTAAAAAACCGCATGTCATGTTTTTATCATGTTTTTAATGCATTGTGTTAAAATCAACACAAGACAAGTGCATTTTATGTGTTTTGCAACCTCAGTGACCTGCTGAAAATAGATATGCGACACAAAAAACACATGTTGCATTTTGGTGCGTTTTCGAACACTACTATTGCTTATAATAGAAGGTACATTTTTAATGAAATGTGTCTTAAGATTCTGCAAGTAGGACTTTCCAAAAGTTCAGCACACAGATGTGAACATTATCATATCATTTAAATGGGACTACTTTTCATGCACTTTAAATGCGCTGGTGTGTTTTAGCATGCTAAAAATGCACAGGTGTGAATGGACTATGAGAGATGGTACAATCAGATTGTACCGTGTGTGGGGAGTTTTAAGGTCTCCCTGGGCTTTGTAGATGGAAACTGACTTTAGAAGTTCCAGCTGTTGCTTAGAAGTATCAAATGACAAATAATTACCAAAAATATTGTTTAGATGACTTTAAAAAAAAAAAAGAAAACTATTTAGACTTTCTTGCCTTCAACATGAAAGGGTCCCCTTTCTGCATACCCCATTCATCCCTGATCCATATCTGTAATATTTCGGTAAGCTGCACACTCAGGAGGACATTAAAATCTTTCCTATGATGTGCAGTTCTAAAGCTTTGCTTTGCTAATTACTTTTTGCTATTAAGGCTTCAAAGACGCTGCTAAATACTATACTTGTCCTAAAGAGGGTTAAGCAAGCTTTCTCAAAAAGCAATTTGCAAGTGAGCGGTTCGGGTGACCCAGGGCAAATCCTGATCCACCTCATCCAGCGTGCTTATAAGCAGTTATTAAATGTACTACACTCTGTGACTGTGTTGTTTTAATGTCATTTCATAGGACACGATGAACCATTTAAATCTGTCTTTTGCGGCCTGTGGATTTCTTGGAATATACCACTTGGGGGCAGCATCTGCACTTTTAAAACATGGTCAACAAATGTTGACTACTGTCAGGTGTTTCGCTGGAGCTTCCGCAGGATCCCTGGTTGCAGCAGTTCTACTAACGGCTCCGCACAAGATCAAGGTATTTGCTGAACGTTTAAACAGATTCATAGGAATTCTAATTATTATCCCTTGAAACAAACATGTCATGTTTTTGCAGTAAGCATATATTTTTAGTTATTATTGCAATTTTCACCTAAAGCAAATGGTTTCTAGCATTCACTTTGCAGTTACATTAATATTGTAGTCCTCCTTACCCCTAGACCTCCTTGTCAACCTTAAAGTGGTTGTAAACCTCAGACATGAAATATGAACAGACCATATATCCTCTATAGCGTGTGCTTGTCTCAAAGTGTTACTAAACCCACAACAGTAAAATCAGTCTGTATATGCAGTAAAGCATGCTTGTTATATTCACTGCGGAAACTAAGGGGTTAATCTTCTGCATTCTGTAAAAATAAATGTTTTATCCTGTCTTCTCTGATCCTCCCCTTCTTCCACAGTCCCCAATCCATCTGCTGATAGAACAGAGCTTTGGGGGCAAGCTGCACATGCTCAGTTTGGTGTGTATTACTAGAGAGGTTTTTTTTTTTTCTTGGGAGAGTGCACAGGGCCAATAAGTACTGTACAGACAGAGGGTCAGGGGTACGCAGCCTCTTAGGAAAATCAGGGGAGAATGAAAACCCCTACAAGCTTTGACCAGTGCTCTGCTGGACACTGTAGAAGTCTCAAAGCTGCTATATACTGCTGATGAGAAAAGGTATTTAGCAGTTTATATTTTACTAAAATAATTGCACTTCCATGTTCTGTGTACCGTGGGAGACCAGATAGAGCGAATTCAGGTTGCTGGGTTTAGTAACACTTCAAGATCACTAAGGGGGTTATTTGCTAAAGCTGTAGAGTGCAAAATCTGGGGCAGCTCTGCATAAAAACCAATTAGCTTCCAGGTTATATTGC